CCCTGTGCCGGGGACAGAACACAGAGTCATCTTCATCATCTGACACGAAGCAACCTGCCCATCTATGTAGGAGCTCGGTAGCAAACAGGACAAGGGGCAATGGGCACAAACTGAGGCACAGGAAGTTCTGTCTGAACATGAGGAAGAACTTCTTCCCTCTGAGGGTGACGGAGCCCTGGCCCAGGCTGCCCAGGGAGGTTGTGGAGTCTCCTTCTCTGGAGATATTCAAGACCCGCCTGGACAAGGTCCTGTGCAGCCTGCTCTGGGTGACCCTGCTTTGGCAGGAGGGTTGGACTGGGTGACCCACAGAGGTCCCTTCCAACCCCTACCATTCTGCGATTCTGTGATTTGCTTGATGTGACTTCCCCTGGGGGAAGTCAGAGTACCGACTAGATGCGAGGTGAGAAAAGTATTTCCTCTTCTAGCACTGCTTAATTTTATTAATTGTTCCTGCTATAAGACAGCTGACAACTGTATAGCTCTGTAACATATTTTGGTTCTACAAAAATACAACCTGGAAGTGTTATAAAATAGAAAAAATATAATTAAGTCTATATGGGTGTGATAAAATCTCCCTTAATTAAGAAAAGGTTAGGATTCATCAAAGTGAAAACAGAGCATTAGGACCACAACAATTACTGCAAAATTAGGAGAGAAAAGGGACCTGAACTGCTTGAAGGGATTCTCTTTTTTCCTGTAAACCCATACAGCTTAACTGCATTGAGTCTTGGCTTGTGCAACGAGAATCACCGGTAAACTGGCGACACGCTGAAGTCGGCGTGGCCCATCTCTTCGATTACCGTGTAATCCCAGCGTACAGCCTGAATCGCACGGGCGCCTCTCAGCCAGTCCTCGCCTCCTGCGCCGCCGGGTTCCCGCCTTACCGGCGGCACCCGCTGAGGCACGGCTGGCCCCGCAGCGCGATGGAAGCTCTTGCATACTAAAGAAGTTCTTGCCCCGAGCAACCTGCCGCCTTGATAGTTTCCTGGAGGGTGACGACTGCCTGGCAGAAGCTATTAAAATCAAACTAGAGAGTAAGAAATAAACGTGCAATCCAGCAGAGGTCATGGGGAGGATGGTTCTTTTAGCCACACCAACAACTGGAAAAGGAACTATGCAAATTTTCAGGCCAATTTAAAAGAAATTATTTAACACACTTAAAATGGTTAAGATGATTAAAGAATTGCAGCACCTGTTAACAAGGCTGAGAGACCTGGGATAGTCAGCCTGGAGAAGAGCAGGCTTGGGGGGGGATCTTATCAGCATTTATAAATACCTGTGGGGGAGGAGTAAACCAGGTTCTTCTCAGTCCTGCCCAGCAGCAGCGCAAGAGGCAACGGGCACACACTGAACCACAGCAAATTCTGTTTAAACAAAGCAAAGCTTTTTTACTGTGAGAATAGTTGAACACTGTTACGGCTTGTCCAGAGGTTGTGGAGTCTCCGTCGCTGGCGATCTTCAGCCCAAGCAATCTGCTCTAGTTGCCCCCGTTGTGAGCAAGGCAGTTGGACTAGATGATCTCCAGAGGCCCCTCCTTAACCATTCTGCAGTTAGAAAAGAATGGCTTTCTAAAGGAGTTTAACTGGAGCTTTTTATCAAAAGATGAATATTTTCTTAATAAAAATGAAATGGTTGTCCAGATTGGTGTTGAGTGACATGCAACACAATATAATTATAATGAATTAGTGCTTTGATGACCTAACAAAGTTAAAAGCACCCTAATGTGTTCCAGTGTTCCTTACACGATTGCAAGGAGAAGAGGGGTGCCCAGGTGCCCTCTTGAAGTTATTTGGGCTTTCAGCAGCTGCTGATGGTTCTGAGACCTTTGCTCTCCCCGTTTTCCTGGCATGCTCCAGCTCTCTTGGCTGCTCCTGCTGCACCTGTGTCCTCTCTGAAAGCAGTCGCCAGGGGCTGTGGTGTATTTAATGGGAACCACATGACCAAAGCAACTTGGTACTGAACACACTAGCTTGCTGCTTTCTTTCTCCCTTTGAATATGTGCATCCTAAATGAGCTCAGATATGGAGAGGAAGTGGCTTCTGAGGCTCTTCAAGGTCAAGAGGTAAGAAATTCTGTGTTTGCTATTAGGTAGTAAAACAAAAACAGGGATTTGAATGCTATTTTACTCTTGTTCCCCCCTGCTGATATGCTGGCTTCTGGCTCCACCCGTTGCTTTCTTCCTTTTCTGAGTTTAAAAGATTTGGTTTAGAGAAAGACTGGTATGGTACGGTGATACTGCTCATTCTCACAGCTTTGATGACCCCATGGATTGGTTAGGATGACCAGGGGTGCTTGAAGTTAAAGGGGTGCTCCGCCAGGCCTCTAGGGAGGAAGCGAGAGATGCAAGCTCTGCTTCCCCCAGGCAAGGTAATCAAATGCCTGGCGTTACTGGTACGGTTTGTGTGGGGATAGCCCCTCAGGCCTGGGGTAACCAGGGTTAGAGCCCGTGGTACTGTGGTGCAGCAAGTTGTGAGGCCAGACCAGGGACGTTGTGCGTGCTGGCTCAAGGCACAGGAGGGTGGTGAGCAAGCGTTGTGTTGCCGGCTGGGGTGGTTGTGGCCAAGTTTCCTGGAGAATTGTGCACCTTGCAGCCACTGCAGGTCCCAGGCTTTCCAAGCACATGGTGGTGACAAAGGCAGGTGTATGGTGGTATGTGCCATGTGCTCCTAGCATAGGGAGGGACTGAATGGGCTGGGGTTGCTCTCTACAGCTTCTTCAGAGGTCGGTAAGGAGTCAAAGCTGCAGCCAGGGAAGTGGTAACTGATGGATGTAAAGTGGGTGACTTGGTTTTTCCTTGTCAATTGTTTGATTCCCTGTCAAATGTCTTCAGTGACCAAAAGCTGGAGTTGCCCAGGCTCTGAGATACTGGTTAGCCAGGAGATCTCCACATCTCCCAGGGTCTTCTTGCTAGGTGGGCTGCAGTAGTGCAAGGCTAATGTTTTTAAATCACATGATGTGTATTTTGTTTTATGAAACCAGGTAGCAGTGATTTCGATCTTAGAGCCTGGACAGGCTCTGTCTCCTTGATGCATCCTAATCCTTCCTCTGGCATGGCGGGCATTCTTCGGGTTGGATCAGGTCTCTTTGTGAATCCCAAACTACATCTCAAATGTGTTTTGTTTTGTTTCTTTTCTTTCTAAACCATTTTGTCACAGAAGCTGTTGCTGTGCTCCTCCAGTCCGTCTCTTCCTCCATTTGCTTTGGCGTTTGCTCTGCAGACTTGTTCTAAAGCCCCCTCGCCCAGTTTGCTGGGTCACTGTTGAGCAGGAAAATGCTCACTGATCTTTAATGATTCTTTGCTCCAGCTCTCCCTTCTCTGTCTACACTCGTTACTCTTGAAAAGCTTTGCATTGCCTGTGCCTTTGGTAGAATTCTAGGACTCAAATTTGGATGTTGAGAGTCGGGGGGGAAGGGAATTGAGTGGTGTAAGGTCTGGGCTTTCTCTCGCTGCAGCTTGATTAAGCTGCCCTGTTACAGATAAACCCAAAAAAGTCTTTCTCCTGGGCATTCTTCAATAGCTTCCATGTCACTTCAGGGAATGAAGGCAGGAAGGTTACTTGCATCTCTTCGCTGTCTCAGACTGTGCCTTAGGCTTTGTAATTGTTCGAATGTGTGGTTTGGGGTGGGGAGGAGGGTGTTCTTTGGGTTTATTTTTTGCTTATTCCTCAACTTGCTTCTGGTGGCGGGCAATGCTCTACCTGATTGACAGAACCAAGGCACAGTCAAAATCTCTTGTAGTCAGAGCGACCTGTGGCAGTGTTTTACTTGTCCTGCACGTCCTCCTTGAGTAACTGCGCTTTCCCAAACTCGTGTCGGGCAGTGCTGCTGTGAAGCAGTGGCTGCTTCTGAGTAACCTTCAGCGTGAGCAGGAGAAGCAGCAAGTGTCTTCCTGGAATTCCTAAGTTATGATTAGTGGCCCCGCCTGTCTAATGAGCTTCTTAATGATAACTGTGAGGGTGCCAATCTAGCTGATATGTGACTTATTCATTAGGAGTGGAGGGGGCTGATGCTGAGCTTCACCTTTGCTGCTTCATCCGTCCTGCTTTAGGGAACACCTTGCTGAGAAATGGAGGGATCCAAAGCAGCCAGGGAATCACTTTGAGAAGCTGACTTAGTTTTCTAGCCATGACAGAGCAGTCCAGCTGTCCTGACTTTGGTCTGCGATTGTAGAAAAGCTCAGTTTCCTGGTAGTTTGTTTGTTTATTTCAAATTCATAGTACCAGCATGCACAGGGCATAGCACATGACTTCTCTGGGACAGCAAGTCTTTTGCAAGATATTTATTTCAGGCTTCTGCTGAACACATCAATAAACCAGCAAAAGAAAGAAATTACAATTATGACAATGATGAGGTCAGTCTTAGAGAGAAAATGGTCTTCAGTGCACCCGCTTAAGTGAAATTGTCACTTGTGGCAACTGTGCCTGTTCGCAGACCCAGCGGGATGCAATCGATTAATGGTTCCTTCGGCTCCACGGGAGGTGGGGAAGCAGCTGCCTTTGATTTTTAGCCTTCTTGCACACTAATGCTTTCCACCGGGGAGTGGTAAACAGGAATTCTCTGACCATCCCTCAGTTTCAAGGTGACATCCTGAAGGCACCAGCTGACATAAACCAAAAGAGATTTTTAACTTGTTTCAATCACTTTTAATATAGTAGTAAAGTTGGTGTAGAAACAGCTGGCACAGCGAAACAAATCATTTCATGCATTTGTTGCTTTTAAAAATTCTCTCGAGTGTTTTAAACATTGGCACTCTTGAAAGCTGTTTTCCCTAATAGCACAGCACAGCCCCGATGTAAAGGTCTGGGATGTGTGTTCCTATTTGTTGCAACTCAAGTAAAGTCCTGCCAGCTATTTTTAGATAGGACATTCCTCCCCCGACCCAGTGCCTTTCTCCCTCTCCATCCTGAGGGTGCATTCCTTGCTCCTCTCCAGCCTTGGAGCCAGACCGTGTTGCTAAGGAATTATCCTGGCTTGGAGGAGTCTGAACACTGTGTGATCGCTCAATGTGACTGCTGAAACCCTGACAGGGAAAGACAGTGGATAATCAAAGAAGAAAAACTGCATTTGTTGGACACTGAAGGGGAACCTTTTCCTTCCTCTAAGCTCTGCTCCAAGCCCACTTCTGTGAGACTGCTCATGCTGCTTTTCCAGCTCGGAAGGACTATTATTTTGGGCTACTAAGATATGATTTTTTTCAAAAGCTCCTGGCCCTTGCCCAGCTCTGCTTTTGCTGGCATTGGTGCCGAGTCCATGCAATTAGGTAATTAGGCTGCCACACCTCTGTGCGATGGGTCTGCAGCAGGGCTCTTCCTTCACTACCCCTCTGCCTACACCTGACCCAGGACAAGCAGCTGCCTCGTTTAAAGCAGGGTTTGAAGGAGCAACTGGTCGCTCCCCTCAGCATGGCCTGGGGTCTCGGCCCTTCCCTACGCTCGCTTCGGGGCAGGCAAGTCTCCCGTTGCAGGACTGATGCCTTGGCTGCCCTCGCCTCTGGGCGTGCTCCCATCCTGCTGCCTGCGCTGGAGTGAACGCCGCCTCCTCCTCCAGGGCCAAACCAGCTCACGCACTCCCAATTTCCCTTTTTTCTGTTGCTCTCTTTTTTTTTTTTTCTAATAACCATATAACTAAATAAACCATTATGGACAGGCTGCATGCTTGGAGTCAGAAGCATTTCAGTGGCAAAGAAGCCTCAACTATTCCTGCAAAGAGCGCTCACCTCCTGGTGCCATTTAACTGTGTCTGTGTGGGCCTGGTGGCCCCCTGGTCTCCACTGGAAATGTCCCTGTGCACGCTCTGCAG